TAAATGCTTCATAAACCATAGTACCATTCAAGAAAAAATGTTCAATACACAAAGAATAGATGTTTATTACAGGTTCCTGTAGATGTAAGAAAACTACAAAACATTCATCTACGCCATCTTGGTGGCAACATTGGAGGAAGGAAGGCAGGGAACACGCTCAGTATAGAACTTAAAATGTATCTGTGTCATTTATTTAAGGGAACTGCAGAGCCATCACCTGGGGTCTCCCAAGGGGAAAATCTGAGCATCAGAATAAAAAGTGAGAGTAATTGATTAAACTGAATGAAACAAAATCAAGAATTTATGAATCTGTACTGGCATAAACAAAGATGCCAATTAGCAAATGTAGAAGGAGCACTGGCGTTAGAAAATCACTATTTGGCAAATACTTTAATGATAATTGTTCCAGACAAGAGCCACCAATAAATATTAAAGCAGTGGAGGGAAGTTTGATAAGTAACAGGAGATCTACAGTCTCAAAGTACCTTGCTTTAGTATAATATTAAACTAAATTTAAAACTGGGGAATCTGGGTGGCACCTGTGGCTCAATGGGTAGGGCGCTGGCCCCCATATACCAAGTGTGGCAGGTTCAAACCCGGCCCCGGCCAAACTGCAACAAAAAAATAGGGCATTGTGGTGGGCACCTGTAGTCCCAGCTACTTGGGAGGCTGAGGCAAGAGAATCACCTAAGCCCAGGAGTTGGAGGTTGCTGTGAACTGTGTGATGCCACAGCACTCTACCGAAGACAATAAAGTGAGACTCTGTCTCTACAAAAATAATAATAAATAATAATAAAAATGGGGAATCTCTTTTTTTTTTTTTTGAGACGGAGCCTCAAGCTATCCCCCTGGGTAGAGTGCCAAGGCATCACAGCTCATAGCAACCTCCAACTCCTGGCCTCAAGCGAGTCTCCTGCCTCAGCCTCCCAAGTAGCTGGGACTACAGGCGCCCGCCACAACGCCCGGCCATTTTTTAGTTGCAGCCATCATTGTTGTTTGGCGGGTCCAGGCTGGGGATTCGAACCCTCCACCTTAGGTGTATGTGGCTGGCGCCTTAGCCGCTTGAGCCACAGACACCGAGCCAAAAATGGGGAATCTCTTGACAAGAGATCAGGGGATATAGTAGCTGTTTTCAGACATGACTTTAAAACACTATCATATGGTGGTCTCAGGAAAGATGGAAATTGCAAGAATTCTTATTTTGGTTCAATGAAAAGTAGTTTTTAGTCTATGTCTTACTCACTTTGGGTTGCCATAACAGAACATATAGATGAGGGGCTTAAACAACAAACGTTTATTTTTCACAGTTCTGGAGCCTAAGAAGTCCAAGATCAAGGTGCTGGTCCATCTTCCATTATAGCTTCACATGGGGAAGAGAGGGAGCAAGGTTTCCTCTCTCTAGTTATAAGGACCCTGATCCCTTCATGGAAGCTCCACCCTCATGATCTCATTTATACCTAAGTAGTTCCCAAAGCCCCACCTCCATACCAGTCCATTGAAAGTTAGGGTTTCAAAATATGAGTTTGGGAGGACAAAAGCATGCAGTCCATAACAGCCTCCAAAAACAACCAACAAAAAAAAGTTAAGAAAAATATTGTATAATTCCAAGATTCTAGGATTCTTAACATTTATTTATTTTAGGATTCTAGGACTGTATCATTCTATTCTTTTGAGATTCTAAAATTGTTGATGTGTGATTCTCTCTTTCTCTTGTTTTTGAGACAGAGTCTCACTATGTCACCCGTCACCCTGGGTAGAGTGCCATGGCATCACAGCTCACAGCAACCTCAAACACTTGGGCTTAAGAGATTCTCTTGCCTCAGCCTCCCAAGTAGCTGGGACTACAGGTGCCCACTGCAACGCCTGGGTATTTTGTTGTTGTTGTTGCAAATGTCATTGCTGTTTTAGCTGGCCTCTGCCAGGTTCGAACCTGCCAGCCTCAGTGTATGTGGCTGGCACCCTACCCACTTAGCTACGGGCTCTGTCAAGTCTGGGATTTCTTGTAACTGGTCCAAGTGGATCACATGCCTATCACTAAACTAGTTGCTTTGGCCAAGTACATGTAGTCCAATGGTAAACAGGTGTGAGTTACCCCTGGAAGCCAGATGGGGTAGGATTAACCCCACCCAAACCTCATGGTTTGAAAGTAAGAGAGAAATGGTTCTCAAAAGTCAAATAATGAGGCGCTGTTGCTGCTGGAATGGATACAGAGCAGCAAGCTATGGAACAAATGCCCATTAGACTTGTCTGCCCCATAGGGCCACTGGATGTTCCAAGGAGGTTGTACAATTGAATGTGTCTTTAAAATTCAAATGAAAAATGTGGAAGGTAATGTTCTGACAGAGTTACTTGGTATACTTTTACTTACACTTCTCCTGCTGGAACGCCTACTCATCTCGCTTTAGTCATTCATGCAACACCAGTATGACACTGACCATAGATGCCCCTTTCTAATTATAGACTTATGTATCTGTCTCTCAGGCCTCCCATAGCAGACCCCTACAACTGAGGGCTCCTCCAGAGCTAAGATCCATATGTGTCCCCCAGTGCCCAAGGCACAGTGTAGGTATCAGGAGACTAGATTTACTGAACAAAAGAAGGGTATAGTCTCAATGACTTTTAGACATCTCCCCTCCAGTTTTTAGTCCTTTTTACCTTTGGAAGTCATTGAGAAAACATCAGCCAAACCACAGGGAATTCTGCAGGATCAGGGGGAGGAAGTGTCATACCAGATCATGTTGTTTACAGAAATGTAACTCCTAATGACTGGGAAGCAGTGCCAGGCATCATTTTATTTATGGAACTCAAATCAAATCACCAGGAGGCAAAGACCCAAGTGGGAGGAAGTTCAGCAGATAATTGACTAATCAGAACTGTCATTTCATCCTATTTGATTCTAGGGTTTTATGAAAAGCTGTGTTTTGCAATCAATTCCTAATCTAAATACATAAATGACTTTCTCCCCCAGAAACACCAATACTCCCAGCTTAACTATATTGAAAACTCTGCCTACGTTGGAGGGGGAAAGAGGTGAAGGCCAGTAGACATAGCTAGCAGAGGACAGCGCAGGAGACATAAATGGAGAGGCAGCATGGGAGGACCAAAGGTACTTAAAGGAACAAGAGATCTCCTAGAGAAGGTGTTCGAGTGGCTTGCTTGGGAAGCTCCACTATGGAGCTAGGTCTTCTGGCCTTTTGAATACTAATAGCTACCATATATTGAGCCATTGCTACATGTCAGGTGTTGTGGTAAGCGCTTTAAGTGCATTATTTCACCTTAGTTCTTGAAACAATCTTGTAAGTTCAGGATTGGTACACCCCCATTCATGCAATACAACTGAGCGTCAGAAAGTTGCAGTGATTTTCCCATTGCCAGGCAGCTAGGGGGCCACAAAATCCAGAATTTGAATCCCTGCAGATCTGATTAGACTCAGAGTCCTTAACTACCCTCACAAACCACTTTGAGGCAGCTATTATTTCCTTCATTCTACAGATGAGAAGACTGAGGTCCAGGGGTGATGTTCCAACTTGCCCAAGTGACATAGTAAGTGTCAGAGCCAAACCAAGCCTGTAAGGCTTCAAAATCTATTCGGCCTCCAAGATCGAAGAAGAGCAAAGGGGAGGGGAAAGAATGTGCCAGAAAGCCCCTGCAGCTCAGGCCCTATCCTTTCCTAGGGCCCTCTCCTACTCAGGAGTCTTCTTTTCACCACTTCTCCTCCAGTGTGGCCTGTAGACTGAACAGGGACTAGGTAGTTCTTGAAAGAGTATAAGACACTCCTTCCCAAGGATCCTCTAGAAAAGGAACAGCCAGGGAGGGCGCCATCAGCCTTGGGTCTCGCATTCCCACACATCTGAGCAAGGCCTGTAAGTAAGATCAGAAAGTCCTTGAATCCGGAGCCAGCCAAACTGGGCTCAAATACAGCCTGGCGCCCTTAGCCATTAGCAGCAGCTCCCCCCATAAAGGCGTCTAGACTGGGACAAGAATTTCACTAGGAGTTTCCTCCATACTTTAAAATTTTATTGTCCCCCACCCAAGAGGAGCCTCAGGCTCCTGGAGGTGAAGCGACCAGTGCAAGGACAGCAAGAAGTCACGAGCTTGGGATTTGAACCCACCAAGGCCCCAGATTCTGCAGTTGCCCAGGAGCAGAAAGGGAGGAGCTGCCGGAGAGAAAGGAGGAGGGGAAAGAGAGAGGGCAAGCTCCCGGCAGTGCGCGCTGACGACAGCAGCTGATTTTTTTTTTTTTTCTGCAGCGCGCTTTCTCTCAGCATCTTTCCTGAATTTTTTTTCTCCCCCCGCTGAGCGGCAGAAAAGGGTGGGGCCGCTTCCCTGCAGCTGAGGCGGCGGCGGCGGCGGCAGGGACTGCAGCATCATAGCCGGCAGCGACGGCGACCCAGAGCTGCAGAATAGGGTGGGGCGCTTTCCCAGCAGCAAAGGCGGCGGCGGCAGAAGCTGCGGCATCATCGAGGGCAGCGACGGAGGCCGCAGTGCTTGTTCTCCGCTGGCAGTGATGGCCTCTGGGCTCTGCTAGGTGGCCGGCTGCGACCAGACGCCGGCGGGAAGGAGAATCGAACCGGGTCCGTGGACCCTGCGGCCGCACCGCTCCACGCCTCCTCTGCGCCATGGCTTAAGCCTGCAGCCACCTCTCCTCGCCTTTCTTCGCTCGGCTGGGGGCTGCGCGCCACCGCGGCCTCAGGGAAGGGCGCTTCCCAGACACCCTCGTCGGGGACTCGGGGGACGCCCTACCTCGCCCTTCGGCGCCCGCTGCAGACTGCGCTCCCAAAGGCGTTTGTAGCCGGTAATCGAGGGACTTTACAGACTACCTTAGCGAAGGTCTCCCAGTGCTCTCTGAGGAAAGAGGGAGAGGTAGCTCAGGCTCATTGGTGGAGGGAGAAAACGGTGGGAATACACTGGCCGGTCGGGGTCGAAGGCTGAAGGAAAATTAGAGACTTGCTTTAGAACCACAAAAAGAAAGCGAGAGGGCCGGCGTTGCAGCCAGCATCATGGCGTGGCCGTGCATCACGCGGGCCTGCTGCATAGCCCGCTTCTGGAACCAGTTGGACAAGGCAGACATCGCCGTGCCGCTGGTTTTCACCAAGTACTCGGAGGCTACCGAGCACCCGGGAGCCCCGCCGCAGCCACCACCGCCTCAACAGCAGCAGGCGCAGCGGGCTCTGGCGCCCCCCTCGGCGCGCGCAGTTGCCATAGAGACGCAGCCGGCCCAGGGCGAGTTGGATGCAGTTGCCCGGGCAACGGGGCCGGCGCCCGGGCCCAGCGGCGAACGTGAGGCGGCTACTGCCCCGGGCCGGAGTGGGCCAGGCCCCGGCCTGGGCTCCGGCTCTACCTCCGGTCCAGGCCCCGCGGACTCGGTGATGCGGCAGGACTACCGCGCCTGGAAGGTGCAGCGGCCCGAGCCCAGCTGCAGGCCGCGCAGCGAGTACCAGCCGTCCGACGTACCCTTCGAGCGCGAGACCCAGTACCAGAAGGATTTCCGCGCCTGGCCACTGCCGCGCCGCGGGGACCATCCGTGGATCCCCAAGCCCGTGCAGATCCCAACTTCCTCCCAGGCTTCCGCGCCTATTTTCAGTGCTCAGAGGCGCCGGCCGCAGAGCCAGGAGCGTTGGCCCATGCAGGCCGCCATTGAAGCCACGGAGCAAGAGACGGCCCCTGGAGGAGTAGGTGGCCCCGCGGCGGGAAAGGCGTCTGGGGGGGACGATCGTGACACACGCAGGAAGGCCGGGCCCGCCTGGATGGTGCGCCGCGCTGAGGGGCAGGGGCACGAGCAGACGCCGCTGCCGGAGACCCAACCCCCGGCCGAAGCTGGTGGCCCGGCGGCCGGAAAAGCATCCGGTGGGGACGATCGCGACACACGCAGGAAGGCCGGGCCCGCCTGGATGGTGCGACGGGCTGAGGGGCAGGGGCATGAGCAGACGCCGCTGCCGGAGGCCCAGCCCCAGGCCGGAGCCGGTGGCCCGGCGGCTGGAAAGGCATCTGGTGGGGACGATCGCGACACACGCAGGAAGGCCGGGCCCGCCTGGATGGTGCGACGGGCCGAGGGGCAGGGGCACGAGCAGACGCCACTGCCCTTGGCTCAGGCCCAGGTCCAGGCCATCGGCCTGGAGAGTGTCAAGGGGCGCGCAGCAGCGGACGCTCTCAACCGGCAAATCAAAGAGGAGACGGCGAGCGCAGTGGGCAGCTCCTACAGGTGAGACGCTAGCTGAAGACTCATCCCCCTTACCGTCTCCCGCAGACCGCCCAGGGCTCATCGTCCCAGTGCAGGTCTCGCCGTCCCAGTGCAGGTCTCGCATTGCGCCTTCAGTCCCAGACCACGCCCTCTCCCTGCCACTTCCCGGCAACCTCCGGTTGCAGACTTCTCTGCTGCCCTGACTTGGGTGAAATCTGTTAGTATCATCCATCCCAGCTCTTTGACTTTACCACTGTAGCCCCCTTTCCTCAATCACTGCCGCACTTCAGATCTCTGTCTGTCCAAAGGAGACTCATTGCAATTTCCACGCAGGCTGTGCTTCCATTCTGGCCCCGCCAGACTCACCTGCTGCACCTTGGTGGATCGGCTGTCACCTAGAACCTTGGTGCCTTTCCACAGGGTCCTCATCCTTCTAGAAGAATTATTTATTTCTTTATTTTATTTATTTATTTTGAGACACAGTCTCGCTTTGTCACCCTGGTTAGAGTGCCATGAAGTCACAGCTCAAACTCAGCAACCTCTAACTCTTGAGGACTCCGTGATTCTCTTGTCTCAGCCTCCCAAGTAGCTGGGACTACAGGCGACTGCCATAACACCCAGCTACTATTTTGCTTTTAGAGACGAGGTCTCACTCTGGCTCAGGCTGGTCTTGAACCCATGAGCTCAGGCAATCCACCCGCCTCGGCCTCCAAAATTCTTTCCAAGTGACCTCACTCATTCCTCCCCTGTCCACTTCACCTGACCTTTCATTCTTCTCTCCCTCTTTGTGCCTCAAGCATCAACACTACCTTTTCTCCATTACCTGAAAGATCCTTACACATCACCACCCACCTTCCACAACTGGGGCTTTGAAGTCATTTTCTTTCTGCTTCTTACTAGCTGTGACCCATTGGGCAGGTTTCTTAATCTTTCTGGGCCTCAGATTCTTATTTGTAAGATGTAATTGATCATAGACATCTCTTAGAATTATTTGCTTATTGATTTACTATTAAATATTAAACATATTTTTGAGTATCTATACTATATGCCAAACACCGTGCTAGACATTATGAAGATTAAATGAGCTGATTCTGGAGAACGGTTCATGCCTGGCGCATAGTGGTAATCAGTATGTCTTGGTCCAATTCCTACCGTCTACAGGATGCCTCCTTATTCTGATTTCCACTTTCTATATGCCTCCTTCTTCCCAGGGAGGCATCTCCTTTCTCTCTCCTTTCCTTCATCTTCTCCAGATGTGTTTTTCATTCTCTCACCACCAAGAGCTCTCTCATTAGTACATTAATTCCTTGTAAATGAATGCCTTTAAGCATGGGAACATATCTAGATAGCTAGCTCTCTTTCCTTCTAAAATTTTCCCTCTGCTGTACCCATCCAGTCTGCTTTCCTTCCCTTCATCCATCCAATATATGTTTTTGAATGTTCAGCTTGCTGTCAGTCCCACCCTTATGTTTCAGCCAACAACACATAGCTAGCAGATCACAGTTGAGTCTGAACATGTAACATTGGGTTTGGAACCTCTCGGGAAGAAGCTGTGTATGATTAGTAATTGAGCTAAAGGTGTTTGAAATATGGCTTATGGGGTCCTTCATCAATGCCACGCCCAGTTAGTTGTCTCCTTCCTGCAGCAGGAAAGTTAATGTCCTTGGCCAAGATCCTGGATGTAGCCTCATGTCAGACTGATGTCCTTTTCCGGTGAACGTGGTAAACACTCCCTCATACGCTGAGGAAAGACTAGCCTATGTAGACACCTTCTCTTGTTAAGACAAAATCTTCCCCCGTCCCAGCATTTCCCATCTTCCTGAATTCCATTTCCTAGTTGGCATGTGTCTCTTGGTTTATTGCTATCACAACCACACTGGCCCCCAGGCGTACACTACTTCCTCTTAAAGGTCTGTTTCAAATAAGGACACATATCCTTTTCCTTGGCTAGCCACGAGGAGGTAGAATTTTCACCATATTTTTAAGCTGCTACCAAAGGAGAATCAAAAGAAATGAGAAAACACGAGGCATAAAACCCAATGCCAATATGTAGTTTTCTGGTTCTTGTTTACACAGCCTTACTTCATTTCTCTCTTTCTTTCTTTCTTTCTTTTTTTTTTTTTTTTTTTGAGATAGAATCTCACTATGTTGCCCTACCATGGTGTCACAGCTCACAGCAACCTCAAACTCTTGGACTCAAGAGATTCTCTTGACTCAGCCTCCCTAGAAGCTGGAACTATAAGCTCCTGCCACAACGCCTGGATATTGTTGTTGGGGTTGTTGTTGTTGTTGTTTAGCAGGCCCGGGCTGGGTTTGAACTCACGTGGCCAATGCCCTAACCATTGAGCTACGGGTACCCAGCCCCTACTACATTTCTTGATCTTCATTCCCTTAGAACTCTAAGGCTGGCCTAATGTCACACATTCGTGGCCTGGCCTCTTCATCTTCCTATTCCCATTCTATCACTCTGTCGAAGGTAGAACCTTACCATCCCCTATCCCCTGGGCAGGAGCGCTCTCTCCTCACCTCCATATAATCAATGCCGATCAAGAGAAATTTCAGATTCTTAAACCTCCTTGAGTGATCCTATTCAGTTTATGTTTCCAAGTTGGCAGGACTTGGCTTTGTTTAGGGATGATTGGCCAGACAGTCGAGGAATGACCACACCTTTCAGATATAACTCACTCCTAATTTGGGGTTGATATGAGACTACCTTAAGCATGCAATAAGCAAGTCATGCTTCACAGTTTGAATTATACACATCCCGGAAATGATTGGATTGGATGGGAGAATGCCATGCTCTCACAGCTGATGAAAATAATTATTTTAAGCAACTATCAGAATTCTATCAGTAGGACAAAAAAATCTTTGAACACCTAAAAATTTTTATTAATTCAGTTCTTCTCCAAAATTTAATTATACCTATGACTTTGAGGTGAACAGTACCATTTTGCATATAATCAGAGGGATTTTGAAAACTAAGAGAATGAGTATTGCTAAGAAACATCGGTTTCTTTAATGGACAACTTAAGTGTATGACAAATTTGTTGTAAAATTTAACATTATCTTTTGTTCCAGAAAAAAGTATTAACTAGTAGTAGGTCAATGTACTTTGAGTGAAAGTAGATAGGAAGAAATAAGATACTCAATAAAAACATTGTAAGCTGAGCACAGTGGCTCATGCCTGTAATCCTAGCACTTTGGGACACCAAGGCAGGATTGCTAGAGGTCAGGAGTTCGAAACCAGCCTGAGAAAGAGCTAGACTCCATCTCTACTAAAAATATATATTTTTATTTTTAAGACAGAATCGCACTTTGTAGCCCTTGGTAGAGTGTCATGGCATCATAGCTCACAGCAACCTCAAACTCTTGGGCTCAAGTGATTCTCTTGCCTCAGCCTCCCAAGTAGCTGGGACTACAGGCACCCACCACTATAGCTGGCTATTTTTAGAGATGAGGTCTTGCTCTTGCTCAGGATGGTCTTGAACCTGTGAACTCAGGGGAATCCATATGCCTTGGCCTCCCAGAGTGCTCCCAGAGGATTATAGGCGTGAGCCACAGTGCCTGGCGTCTACTAAAAATAGAAAAATTAGCCATGTGTGGCGGTGCATGCCTGTAGTCCCATTCACTTGGGAGGCTGAGGCAGGAGGATTACTTGAGCACAGTAGTTTGAGGTTACAGTGAGTATTATGATACCACTGCACTCTAGACGGAGCTATAGAGCAAGACTGTCTCAAAACAAAAAACCAAGACAACAACAAAACCCTGTAAAGAAAAAAAGCTTGGCGATTATTGCCTTATCTAGAATGTTGATTTTCCTTCCCGTAGTCAAGCCAAGTTTGGCTCCATTTTAGTGATGATTTGATTTACGAACCCTTTTCGTCTGCCACTCTACATAAATCACAGCATGTTTACATACCAATGGTGACCAGTTCATCTCATGGGGTTTATAAATGACATCTGTCACATGACATCAAAGTGAGCATTTCACTTGGAGAAAGGATACATATCTGTCAGCTTAATACTGATATTTATATTGGTATGTAATGTAAAATACACATTCAACATTCGGACTCCCGTACATGCTAATTGATTTTCTCCTACAATGTGCAATCATAAATAATTAGATATCCTTTGACCCTATGGCTTTGAGAAATTTTTCCTATTCAACAACATTTCATCTGTGGCTGGGCTCAGTGATTCACATTTATAATCCTAGTACTCTGGAAGGCTAAGGATCACTTAAGGCCAGGAGTTAGAAACCAGCCTGAGTGAGAGTGAGACCCCCCTCTCTACACAAAGCAGAAAAATTAGCTGGGTGTGGTAGCATGAGCCTGTGGTCCCAGCTGCTCAGGATGCTGAGACAGAAAGATCGATTGCTTGAGCCCAGGGTTTTGAGGTTGTAGTGAGCTATGATGATGCCACTGCTCTCTAGGCAGGGCAACAGAGTGAGACTCTGTCTCAAAATAAATAAATACATAAATAAAACAAGAAAACCCTCAGATCATCTAATTTATAATCTGCTTATACTAGCCTGGAATTTTTGTGCTTAGGTGGTATCTGAGATATGTTTAGAATGATTCAGAATCATGAGGTTGATTAATTTTTAATACTTTCAGTTTACATAGATGATATTATAAAATTGAGAAATATGCCTTTATTTCCATCTTTAATGTTAAGATGAATTGCACTGGGAAGCCCTTTATGACTTTAGACCTGGCTTTCTCAATTAGAAATTAGATGAGTCATAAGGAAGAGATTAAAATTCCTCTGGCATTGTCTTGGCCATCAGATAATAGAGACAGATAGGGTAGTAGCAGGTGCTCCCTATAGAAATGCTAATGAAAATTTTTCCTAGAAGAAATCAGCTGAGGCACCAGGAGGTAGAATTAATAAACCAGAGGCAAAATACTTGAAAAAATGATAGCAGTAACAAGGAAGTTAGAAAGCAAAGGAATCTTTCATGTCTGCCCTATAGACTGGTGTGAAGGTCAGAGCAAAGCCCATCTTAGTTTATGCCA